GACCTCCTACCACCCTCCTGGGATGATTCTATCAGCAGTCCCGGGTCCTGCAGAGTTTCCAAACAGCCAATCAATATATTATGAATAGCGTTTCATTTGGCATTTGGAGTGAGGTTGCACTGTCCCATCAGACCACAGACAGATGAGTCACTGCCCCAGTGATTATAACCAAGTGCTCGCACAGGCACACAAAGCAACACAAATGCAGAAGTGGAGGATGCAAACCAGCTCCAGAGCTCACCTCCTTGGTGATGTGGCAGATGACCTGCATGCAGGCTGACAATTCACACGGATTGTAGCTACGTGTGCAGTAAGGGGATTGACCTGTTCCCCTTGATACTAGTCAGACACAAGGCTGCAAAGTTGTGCCAGAGGTAGGATGGCATGAAAGCTTAGGAAGAAGGTGGCTTTCAGTGGAAATACTGAAAACACAGTAAGGCATTTTAAAAACTGTTGTAAATATGGCATCTTCTCACTCAGCAAGTCTGGTAACTCAGTGTGGTATTTGCTCACTTTACTGATTACAGTAATTTGTAATTTACACTTTTCCATTCTACTGCAGGAGCAGAGGTGACACAGCTATGAAAAAGTTAGCATGATACTACTGGTTTTCCCACTCTGCCTTAAGCCAGAAGTTATATAGTTTAACTAGACTGACACAGTTAAACAGCTACAGTTGTAAGAGAGAAAATACATCTCAAATGGAGTAGCTCTACCAGCAAGAAGAGCAATGAGTGATGCTTGAATTAGTAACCTCATGTAACAATTCTGTGGTTATACCACAGCTAGTTATATCAGTAAAAGGGAATGGCACCTCTATACATCACCACTTTAGCAATACAAAGGCTGTGTATGAAAAGCTGTCAGACATAAATTGTTATCTTTTCATCTGTTGCAAAGATTCTCCTGTCGTTAACGAATGTATCAATGAGAACTACGCTGTCACTCATCACATGGCAAAAGATTCAATTAGAAGAGAGTTGTTTACTTATCAACGGACTGATTTTGGTTCTGATTTGCAAGAAAGGAAACCACAAAATAGTCATATTTAAACATCTAGATAGAAATACTGGCTTCCTTGCTTAAATATAAAATCTCTTCTCTGGCGATAGTCCCAATAAGAACTTTGCAAAGTCCTCTTTAACAACTGCCTCCTAAAAATAGGAAGCACCAGCTTTTATTGATATTCAAGGAAGAAAATAATGTAAAACACTGCCATTGCATGCCATGGTGGCCTGGTCACCACATGTTTTAGTTAAGTGTTGAGTACACCAATATTCATTCTACCATTTCAGTGAGCACAACCACCAAAAAATCTTGAGGTATTTTACTGTTATAATTTAATTGACACTTCTTAAATTGTTGCAGATAAATTTGACTAAATCAGTTCCTACTGCTCATTGAAAAACTGGTTGCCCACCTGAACATACTTTCCAGGGTGGTAGAGAGAACAAAGAAAAAATATTAGAAATTAACTGAAATTATTACTTGCATATGATTGCTGTTTTCTACTGTAAGAATACTAGTTAACGAAGTAGCATGACATTTCTAAAATTTTAAATCACTAAAGATTCTCTGTGTTTGAGACTATAATTCTCAAGCTTTACATAATAAATAATGAGAAAACATCTACTTATTTACTTCCTCCAGATTATTTAGCTACCAAAATGTCATGGATCTTGGGTATAGAGGCGCATATGGATTGCCCTGCAATAAATCCCTGACTGCCCCCTCTCTTCTCTTTTTGCCTAAAGGTGCAAAAGCTTGTTAGAATAATTTCCTTTTACCTTTAGAGGTGAATAACATTTCTTTGAGTAACAATTTTAAAAGGAGATGTAGTTTTATAGATCTGAAAGGCATCCAGAAGCAGAGACAACAGTAACACACACAAAAATCAGAAATAGTGTAGTATTTATTAAAATTTTCAAATGCAGATATATTTTGAAAAGCATACTTCGTTTTACATATAACTTGGCTCAAGAATGACTCTGAGGATGCTTTTGATTCCATAAAATATATGTTCCATTTTTATATATATATATTTTGGCCTTGTTTGGGACTTACTTATATTCCTAAAACTTCATATTTTCTAGAAGTAACTTTGGATTACTTAAAGTGACATCACTTACTTGACACCAAAGCACGTAATTATTATTTAACTATAGCATAAAGTGTACAGGAAAAAGCACATAGTTGTCCAAACTAATACCTGAAGTATTAAAGCAAATGACAGCCTTAGCAATCTGCCTTTTGAACAAAAGGTTCTTCTTTTTAAATATGGTGCAGTCTAAAGCAATATTCTTCCTCTCCCACCAATAGATACCACCACCCCAGACATAAAAAGCCAGTGTCCTGGTGGTTTACCTAGACAACGCAAAAAAATCTCCAGCTCAAACTGTGTACACAGGCTGAAGTGACTAATATTTACACGGCGTACCACTTCCTTTTTCACTGTTAGCATTTCGGATCTGAGGAGTCTGCACTTCCCTGTGAACAAACACCTGAAACAGCAACGAGCTTCCAGATGGATTTCACGTTCTCTCTTCGACTAGAAGTGTGACGAAAATCCAAATAAAAATAAATATTTGGGCTCCTAAATAATTTTGAAAGCTATAGTGTTAGAATATAAAGTGTCTGACCTAAAACACCTGTTTTGGTGAACTCATTTTAGCTTGGCTCCTCAGAACGAACTAGGAGGCTAGGAAAAAGTCATATATTCTCTAAAGATACAGAATTGCAATGGGATGTATGATTTTTAATGCAAGTCCCACAATTCACCTTCAAAGTCCAGGCCAAATTCGTAAATCCTTCCTGTTGTTTTCATGAGGGTGTATGACAGCACTCAGTAATTTACTTACTTTATTACCAGCTCACGATGTTATTTCCTATCTATCTCCTGATTTTCTAAGCCTCACCTTGCAAAGATTACACTTCTTGTAGATCGAACCCTTGCTTAACCAAGATTTGCTGCTTACTTACACAAGTCTTTCTCACTCAGATCCAACACTTCACAACTCAGCATTCTCTTAGAAGGAAACAGAGTGTCCCTATCTGGATCCTGGGCCGATGAAGCCCATGTGGAACCAAATCTTAAAAGAATATACACTTTTACTATATGGATAATAGAAACTTTTTCCCAAATTTGCCTTTAGCAGGAGAAGCTGTTGTGAAGAAAAATATGGATTTTAAATCAAAAGATTACTATAGGAAAATTATCCACAGGGCTCTGTGGGACTTATATGAACTTCAAATAAGCTTAGCCAAAATAAAAACTAGTTTTCATAAACATGTTCTAAAGTATTTAAGCAAGCAAAATGTGATGATTTATTTGACACAGCTTCTGAATTTTTAAAAGACTTTGCATCTGTATTTTAACAAAATAAATAGTTAACAGAGATAATACAAAGGGCTATCTCTTTCAAAGAATATATAAATCTCTGTGTGGAACATTATTCATTGGAATTTCAACGGAAATTTCTTATTTCATCAGAATATCCTTTGGATGGAATTCACATCAGACATTGCATAATAAGAAACCAGAAGTTTGTGGGGTTTTTCTTGGTCGGGGTTCTAGTAAAACATTCATAGAGTTTAGCCGTAGGCATTTTCTCACTACCCTCCTCCCCCCTATATTTTCTCTGTCTCCCAACAATTTGATATATTTTCTGAAATGCTTTTAAAATGGATGAACTGTCCTCCACCAGAAAGAACAGTAAGCAAAGTTTTAGCCAAACTAGTTCCTGAAAATGGAAGATTCAAGTAAGCAAGAAGTAGTTTTTCATGGTTTAATTATAAGCACCATAATAGATTCTTTATTACACAGGTTTCCTAAAGGGCTTCCATAAACTATTTTATTCTTCCTCTAAAATAGAAAAATTATTATCTCTAACTTTTGAAAAAATTAAAATTGACAGATACAGAAAATATTTAAAACAGGTTTTGAAAAAGGCCACAAACAGTATGACTAAAAGAAATTGAGATGTTTGGCTCTGGTATGATTACATTGCTTGAACCCCACACTTGAAGCTGTGTAAATGTGATTTACTCAACCTCACACTGCATTCATGCAAACAGCAGCCCTGTTAAGGGCACCTATAGTAGTGACCTGTATCAGGGCACCGACTCCTACAGCAAAGCCTTCAAGTACAGTAGAAAAACCAAGAGTTCAGTAAGGCTTTGAGTGCAGATACTGCATAAGCTGTTTTTATTCTGTATTTACTGTAGAAATACATGGAGTTGCATAGAAGGACCTACCTCAAATCCAAATACCAAAAAGACAGAAAGGGAGAGAGCAACCTTCCTTTTTGACCTCTTCAAAGACCAGGTAAAGGTTTGTTTGTCTTTTGACTCTCAGATAAATGATCATGCCATTCGTGTGTATCCATACATGAGCAGCTTTAAGCTTTAAAACACATCCAAAGCTGCTAACTCTCTGCTGTTCATCATCTGATGCAAGAATAAACTATGTCCAGAATTCTTGAATAAGGGGAAAAAAAAAAATTAAAAAAACCTCTTAGTTCTCAGAACTTAAGTATGTATTTTCTGTGTTATTTGTTTAAGTATCAGAAGCACCAAGCTGATAAACATTTACTGTTCCACTGTCAACAATACCAAAGACACCAGTGAAATTATCAATGTGAAGAAGTGCTCATCTCCTCATGAAGAAAGAATTCCAAGTGGGCACCAGTTCATCCTGAGTGCACTGAACTGCTCAAAGAATTGCTTTTGCCTCCACTGTACTTACTACAGTTATCATTTTAAGTGTTTATCTTATTTCCTCTCTCCACCCCAAATTTTGTGTTCTTTCCTCCTGACTCTGTGGAAAACTTTCGTTCACAGCCCTTTTTCATAATTTCAAATTTCTTTCACTATGGACATCCAGGCACCCGAGCAAGACATAGAGAACATTGCAGCAATATTTCTTATTAAACTGCCTATTTTTGTTTACTTATAGAATTCCTTTTTTTTTAATTACATGCTTTCACACTTTGCTAAAATATTTATTTACATGCTACATGTTGAATAAAATTCTCCAGGTCAGCTAAGGAATCGTGAAGAGAGTCATCCGTGTCTTGACTTCTGAGAAACTTTCGAAGGGTATCTAAAGCACTCAAAGCCTCATTTTTTGATGGCAAAGGCTGATCAGCTCCCTGAAATAGATCACCTTCATCCTCATCTTCATCACCAACACATGTTCCAGCTTTATCTGATGTGGTTTCTTTGGCACACATCCTTTCATTATCTGTGGGCATTTCACAAGTTATCAAGCCATCATCTAGAGCTGCGTATTCCTCCAAAGATAAACCTTCTGGAAACTCCACTCCAGCTGCCTGTGCATGTGCAATCAAATCAAAATCACTTTCAACCTCTGTGTCATTACCATTTGCCTTAGTTTCTAATTTGAATCCTGCTTCATTACAACTTTTTACAATAGTCTCTGGTGTTACTTTCCTCCAGCAGAGGTGCAACATCTCAATTGCATCAAGAAGAGTCAGCATGAACTCTTTATTACCTTCTACACAGTCAGCAAATCTCTTGATAAGGCAGCGCCTGTATTTAACCTTCAAACTTCTGATAGCGCCTTGTTTTGTAGCTATGCATGAGGAAGAGTCTGGAGGAGAGAACACTAATTGGACAGACTTCAGGTTCTTTACTTCTGTGTGAGCTGGGAGAGAATCAACAAGAATAACTACTCGTCGCTGCTGTGCTTGAAATCTGTCATCAAGTTTATGCATCCACTGTTCAAACACTTCCGAAGTCATCCACGCCATATCGTTTGCTTCATAATCCACAGGTAGTGACTTCACATCTTTGAAGCAGCCTGGACTTTTGTTTTTCCCTATAACAAGCAAAGGAAGTTTCTCGGTGCCATCCATATTTGCACCCACCCCTACAGTTACTCTCTCTTTACTTATTTTACCTACAGAGCAATTTTCCCCTTTAAATGCAAATGTGTTATGTGGTAACATCTGATACAACAATCCAGTCTCCTGTACATAAAACACGTTTTTTGGCTGATAATCATTTAAATAATAAGGAAGAACATTTTGGTACCAAAGAGTTGGAGCGTCCACTGTAGTAGTAGCAGCTGCTTCTACAGGCTGAGCTCTGAAAACTAAACCATACCTTGACTTGAAACGATCGAGCCAGCCATTACTGCATTTAAAATCACTATGCCCCAGCTTCTGAGCAAAATCATTGGCCTTGAGGCGCAACACACGACCGTTCACCGGCACGTTCATGCACTGAGCAATTCTGTACCACTTCACCAACGCCTCCTCCAGGTCGGTATAAAACGCAGTCCTTAGTCGTTTTCTTTTAGGATCAAATCGTAAAGATTCAAAGGCTTCCAAAACTTTTTCTTTATTCTTCATAATTGAAGACAAGGAATTCTTCTTTATGCCATACTTGGCCGCGATGTCTGCCTTTTTCTTCCCACTCTCCACAGCACTTATGATGTCAATTTTTTCCTCAATAGATATGCTTTTTTTCCTCCTCACTACGGGTTCGGGCACAGGACCCTCCGCAGCCTCTGCCATGGTACCGAGCGCCGTCTTCCCGGCGCACACATCCGCCCCCGGGCAGGCGCGCTGCGGCTCTGCCGCGTTCGGCTGTGGGAGCCTTGGATGGGGCCGCGGCTCTGATCTCAGCGGCTCTGATCTCAGCGGCACGGCCCTCGGCAGGGGCAGCAGCTGCCTCCCGAGGACAGCGGGCGCAAACACACAGACACACACGGACACAGACACACACACAAACATACACACACGGACACAGACACACGTGGACACAGATACGGACACACACACACGCCAGCGCCGCACAGCTTCGCCCTGCGAAGGCCCTGGCCGGGCTGCGGGCCCAGAAGCGCCTGGCCCGCACAGACACACACGGACACAGACACAGACACAAACACACACGCACGGACACAGACACACGTGGACACAGATACAGACACACACACACACGGACACACACACGCCAGC